GTTCAAACTTTGAATGATGTTTCTACTGTTGAGCATGTTTGATGTACAGCAGGTAAAATAAGTATTGAACACGTCACCATTTTTCTCAGTAAATATATTACTAGATGTCCTGATGCATCTCAGTAATCCAGGTAAAAAATCAAAGGAAAAAAAAAATTGTATAGGTCCTCTGGACGGGTTCTTCTTTAATGAAACGTTTCGTCTCTCTTCCAAGAGACTTCTTCAGTCTGAGAGTTTCAGGCAAAATTCAGGCTTTTATGTCCTCCCTCCAGGTGACTGATACTCACATCACATGACCATCGTTCACAGGTGACATAAAAGCCTGAATTTTGCCTGAAACTCTCAGACTGAAGAAGTCTCTTGGAAGAGAGACGAAACGTTTCATTAAAGAAGAACCCGTCCAGAGGACCTATACAATTTTTTTTTTCCTTTGATTTTTTACCTGGATTACTGAGATGCATCAGGACATCTAGTAATATATTTACTGAGAAAAATGGTGACGTGTTCAATACTTATTTTACCTGCTGTACATCAAACATGCTCAACAGTAGAAACATCATTCAAAGTTTGAACAGCTCACAGGAAGATGAACTTTACAAAGCTGAACAGTTATGTTAAAAATATTTTGTTTTTTTAAATAACATTTTAAGTTTTATCCCAGATAGCAAAAGATGTTAATTCTAAGTTAAATTATGGTCAAAAAAGTTGATTTTTGGTTAAGGTCAATGATTGATGGTGAATCAACCATTAAAACAATCATCCAATTCAGGCAAATAACCTATGTTGAAAAGATGTCATTGAATCAATGTTTCATGGTCTGATTGAAATGCTGTCTAATCAATGTTGAATTAATACTAATAGCATCGGTTATGGTTGAAAACCTAACATTAAATCACCGACCACTTTTTGTATCATTTCAACATAGATTAAATATCATGCCTAACCATGTTTCAGTGTGATTCACTCATATTTTACTATCTGGGATGAGTTTTTGAGATTTTACCACAGCATGAGATGATGTCTTTTTAAATTTTGAGGTGCAAATGTTGCACTTGTTTTTTCAAACTTGTCTTACTTCCACAGATTTTACATTTTGTAGACAGTTTATACATCAGGATATAAGTAATATTATTGTCTCATTTCACTCAGTTTGTTTTTCAGTGCTGTTAACTGTGTTTTAGTTTGCACGTCCAAACATTCATTGACTTCCATTGTGTCAAAGCCCTGAAAACTCTTTATAACCTGTCATTTATTTCATAATATATCAATATTAAGAGTTTGAACAGTAGCTGCCTTTAGATCCTCCAAACCTTTTACTGAAATTTGACAGTTTGTCAAATAAAATCTGTTCGCTTCAATCTCCAGAAAAATCAGTTGTTTGTTTTGGAAAAGAATCTTTTGTAACTATAGGACTTAAACTTTGACTTTTTTATTCGTGAGTTTTTTTTCCAGGAATAATACATGAAGACTCCACATTACCATTAAAAATGAAATGAAATTTAAAAAGAAAACTTTTAATACTAATAAAGTCTTATTTATTGATTTATTTGCAAAATTTCTGTAAAAATGTGTCTGTGATCTCATTGGACAAATCTTTTTTTTTTTCTTTCTGCTTTTTTCTAGTGACAAAGACCAAACAGAACATTTGGTAAAAATACTGATTTGTTTTTATAGCAGTGTTTGCTGAGTCAGCTTGGTCGTGAACATTTCAGCTACCTTTTGAACTTAAGAAGTGATTTTAGAGTGATGCCAAACAAACTCAAATATGAATCCTTATGTTTATATTTAACATCAAAACAAGCCTTAAAACAAGGGAAATAGTGAAAAATGACCACTGATGTGTTGTTCTTCAGAGTTGTTAATCTCAGTGAATAAAACGGAGCTGGAGCAGAGTGTGTTCTTGTAACTCTGAGCATTTCTCAGGTGTGCCTCACCTGATGATGTCATCATTGTGACCCAGGTAGAACCTCTGGCTGTGCTCCCTGGTGTTGTAAACCACCCCGACCCCCGCCACAAAGTACACCACCTCCTTCCCCGCCGTGTAGAACAGGTTGTTCCTGCACTGGTGGCCCCGGTACCCGTAGACCCAGTCCAGTCTGAGCCGGCAGCCCGGGGCGGTACGGTCCGACATCACTCATCTGATGGATCACACTGTCCCTCCTCCTCCTGGTCCTGGTCCTGGTTCTGGGTGAAGATCCTCCAGAACAGAATGATGCAGATGTTTGGATCAGAACAGGTCTGAGTTCAGCTTCAAACTGGTTCAAATTATTCAAGTTTTATCAGTTTGTTTATTTTTAACGACTTTTAGTCGTTCAAATCAGACATAAATGTAGTTTTAGAACATGTCACTGTTTTCTGTTGACTTTTTAGTTGTTTTAGTTCATCCATTCATGTTACATAATTTAATTAATTCTAATGTCAAATAGAAATATTAAAAATAGCTATATTTTATAGAGTTTAGCTGAGTTTCCACTCTGCCAGAATTTGACCCAATCTGGACAATAAAACTGGGATTATTGTCCTTAAAGTTGACACTAGGGTTTTAATGTTCTTTCTGCTTGTTGTTTCATCAGATTAAACATTAACAAAAACTCATTTTATCTCCTTTGATATGTGTGTGACTCCATCAGAGGATGAGTTTTAGACCTTTTCCTAAAATAATTTAGATTAGCAGAGATGTCAGGAAAGACAGTAAAACAGGCTCAGAAAGAGCAGAAAGTGAAGGCAGCAGTGATGGAAGCCTCTGATCCTGGGAATATAATCCTTCCCCAGGATAATCCCCGCCAGCCTCCCGGTCCTGGTTCCTCCTGTTTCCGCGCTTCACATCATCTCCATCCGGAGGTGGAGGAGCTTCTCCGTGAATCACAGCAGACAGTAAGAAATGAAATAAATAAATAAAACTACGGGATATGAAATAATCCGCAGATTAAAGGACTCTGAAATGTTCGGCTCGTTCCGGAGAAAACCGAACGGGAGAGGAGCGGAGAGCGACCAGAAGCAGCGTTTAATCCCCGCAGATGATCCAAGTTCCGCGGGCAGAGGAGGGGAGCAGCCCCGGCTCCACGGAGCAGCATCCCGGCCGGAGGAGGTGGGGCTTCGTCCCGCTGCAGAGGCGCCCCTCCACCCGCAGACACAGAACCGGATCCTCGGTGGTCCCACAGTCCTGTTGAGACCCTCCCACACAGCCGAGGCTCGGCTCTGAGTCGTTTGATGGTTTTCAGACTGACAGGAAGGCGCGTGAAGAGGCGCAGAGCCGCGCGCCACATCCGGTTGGTTTGTTTCAAAATAAAACAACCCGACTACATGTCTAATGCTTTCTGTGTCTGTGTTCGTTTGTCTGTTAGCAAAATATCACTAACCAGTAGATAAAATGAACAGAAACAGAGACAAACATGTATCTATTATATCTACATCTGCAGGTGATGAAAGAGTTGACCACAGGGGTCTCCGATCTTATAATCAGTCAGTCGGTAGTCACAGTGCTGTTTGGTATCATGGTGTACGATTTTGAACATAAACCACAGAAAGCTAAGCACAAAAACAAATGAGCAGTAGGCCTATGATAAATGTAAAAGCTATAAAACCATCTCTAAGAAGCTTGATGTTCCTGTGACTACAGCTTTAAGGCCCAAAATAATGTAGCCTGTCTCCTTGGACCACCTCTGGCTATCCACATGGGCCACCAAAGGGCCATCATATTTCCTCAGTAACAAATCCGTAGATTAATCCTCCACCACTCACTGGCTCAGCGTCGTATCAAAAAACATAAAACTGAATCAGCTCATTATAGCAAAGCTGTGGCTCAGTATTTTTAAACTAACTACAAAGTTGCTGTTTCGTGTCATCTTTAATATTCTTTTGGTAATAAATCTGTTTGTTGGTTGATCCTGAGGTCTTTCATTGATGTCATCAGCTCGTTATTCTGAGCGTGGAACCGTGCGTTGCTTTTTCACAAGTGGGTCTGCCAGGCTCGGTCCAGGCTCTGATGTTACCTCTGCTCAGGGGCACAGCAGAGGTGGGCTCGTTTTACTCGCCTTTCCGCCTCCGCCTCTGAATGCTCGGAGGACAGAACACATCAGTTTCGGACTGAGCTGTCTTATGAGTTTTGTGGTATCTGAGCTGAGTGGCAGTGCATTGTTCAGACCAGAACTGGCCCACACACATTTTCCTAGCTGTAATTGGGCACATTAACACTTACTTGTTTGAAATGTTCACTTACTTACATTTTTTTAATAAGTTGGTCTCACTGAGACACAGTTGTATCATTTGCAAGAGAGAACTGTTATACAAAATCAAATACAATTAATACGACCAATAAAATACTATGACATACATACATTATATAGGGGTGCAACAATACATGTACCCGTATTGAACCGTATCGAACAGTTCTTTAGGTTCAATACACACTTGTATCGAACAATCCAGATTTTTAAAATTTACTTTATCAACTTGTCTTCTGAAGATGCTCTGTGTTGAAGGATCAGTGGATCTGTGTTCGACTACTCCACCTAGGCTGCATTTTTGAGCGCAGATCCACTGAGAAACTTGCTGTTTCAACAACATTTAATTTAAAAACTGTACTTTTGAGGTTAAACAAATGTTCATAATGAATTTAAATAAATTACAAATTAAAAGGGGCATGGAAATTTCAGTTATTTGTATCAAAAATGATCAAACCGTGAGACTAAAGTATCGAACCGAATTATGAATTTTCTGTTTTCTGTATCATTGCACCCCTAATATTTATATATATATGTGTGTGTG